ATATGAAGAGTTTTTATAAATTTTATGTATAAAGATGGTATGTCATACATAGGTCAGTTAGATTTTTGAATAAAATAGTTATTATATTATAAAAATAGTAATTTAGCCAATGTGCTACAGTAGGTTCTTGAATATCGGTAAGCAAAACAAAAGTGACAAAAACAACAGTAACATGATCTTAGGGAAAAGGTGGAATTAACCAGTCCAGATTACAGACTGTGAGCACCCTGGCCTCCAGAGGTGAGCTGATGTTAGCCCTGTAGGAGAGACTGTGCCTCTGGCTATGGCAACACATACACACACTTGCAATCCCAATGCTCTGGAGGCTGAGTTAGGAAGACTATAGCTTTGGAGACAGCCTGGACCACACAGTGAGATCCAGTCAACAAACTAACAAATAAGTAAAATAAATAAATAAATAAATAAATAAATAAATAAATAAATAGAATGTCGTGGTATGTGGAAGGGGCCACAGGTAGTTCTTAGAAATATTTTTTTGTTTGTTTTTTGAGATAAGGTTTCTCTGTGTAGCTTTGGAGGATGTCCTGGAACTAGCTCTTCTATACCAGGCTGGTCTCGAACTCATAGAGATCCTCCTGTCTCTTCATCCTGAGTGGTGGAACTAACGGTGTGTACCACCACTGCCTGGCTTAGAAATAATTTTGTTATCTAATTGTATGTTCTCTGTTATAACAGGGACTCATGACTTTGAAAGAATAATTTTTTCAACCTGTATCAACAGCAACTGCAAGATCTAGAAATGAGAGACAATAGTCAGAAGAGCGGCAAAATGAAGCTGCCCCGGACAGGCATTTTTACTTGGGCATTCTGGGCCCTATGGTGGGTGACAGATGGGGAGACAAAGTCAATCTTGCCAAGTAGCTATGGGGTAGAGAAGTATTCATTACAACATGACCTTGGGAGACTTACTTTGCTCAGCTGTACTTGGCTTTTCTTGCAATCAAGACAGGCTTTGGAGGAATGAGAACTCTATGGGAAATAAGGCATTTCACATGGGTTTTTGTTGCTGTTGTTTTAAAATACTTTGAGTTGATTTGGTTTGCTGTCCAGTAGTCAGAACAGGATGGCAGTTACTTGTTAAGTTTCAAGGATAAGCCTAGCTATCTGGCTACTGCCAGGGCGGGACTGGAAGTCCATCCCAGGCATTATTTTGGGCTAGAATTTGTACCTTCTATCACTTTCTATCATTTGTTCCTTCACTATCTTTATACTTCCATGAAGAACAAAGAATCCACCTTCCCAAACTTGTCTAAGTCTTGGCTCTAACAAGACGAGCCTACCATTGAAACAGGGGGTCAGCGAGGCCCCTGAGCTGAGGCCCCATTTAAGCAGCAGTTAGGAAAGGGCAGTGGAAGTACCTTGCCTTGCCAGCTGGCTCCAGCAGCTCGAGGATGCAGAGGGAGGTCATAGGTCTCCATCTGCTGTTTAGCGAAGTTCACAAACACCTGCAGGCAGGAGAAGAGAAAGTGGAAGTTTTCAGAAAGATGGGACCCTGTACGCACATAAATACCTGGCATGTATGGTAAACCATCCATAATTCCGGCCTTGGAAAGTGGAGACAGGAGATCCTGGAGCAAGCTGGTTTGTAAGAGCAGCCATATTATTGGAAAGCTCTGGTTTTGATTGAGAGACCCTGCCTCAAAGAATAGGAAGGATGAGGAACCCAGGAAGATCCTGACGTCCATCTCAGGTTTCTATGTGCATACTCACACATGTTCGTGTGTACCTGCACACATGCAAATACACAGGAACATCACGTCCATACCAATAAATGAATACCTATATAAAGAGCAAATGTTTATGAAGACTTACTGAGATGTACAATTAAATATGTCTATTTTGTTCTTTGCAAATTACACATGAAAAAGTTGATTTGAAAAGAAAAAAACCAGCCACTATCATGCACCGGCAAGCATGAAATGGTGAAGTTTGTGGATGACTAGAATATTGTTAGAAAACCATTTCTGGAATGCCAGATTTGACTACAAGGGACAGAGATCAACGGTGTGTTAAAACTGAAGACATCTTGTCTGTCCCCATGTCACCCACTACTCTTGTCAGGTGTTGGAGTGCACTGGGCACAGCCCACTGACACTTGGTACCCTGGGTGGTCTTGCCTGGTCCAGCGTGGTCTGAGTGACTGAGTACTCCTCAATGAGCAGGCTGTCCTTGTGGGTGACGAGCAGCTGGAAGATCCTGGCCAGGGAAGAGGAGGAGACCTGGAACTGTAGCATGCTGTGGTGCCGCTCCCTCTGCACACTGCCTGGGAAGTTACCCTGGAAGAACTGCTCGACTGGATTCAAGTCGGGAAGCAAGTCGTCCTTTGGGGATTTAATTTTCATTGTGACAATGTAGCCGTCTCCAAACCTAGCAAGTGCACACAGTGTACAGTACTGTTAGAGCTAAGGCAATCCCCAAAGAGTACTGTCATCAAGCATAACAGGGATTAAAAGCCTACCCCATTGACCTTCCACGCACATTTAAAACTAGGAATCAGTTTCAGGAGGTCTAAAGGTCTGTGTGGCAAAGTTGGATGGACATACTTGCTGAAGTTCAAAGTGGTTGTAGCCCCTTGTAGAGACCCCAGGCCCACACATGGGGACATGGCTGCAGCCCTCAGATGTGAGGAAGACTGAATGACTTTGATAAGACTTACCAGGGAAGAACAAAGGCTAGGGAATGTACTCCGTCCTAAGGAAAGTTCCTGAAGGAAGTGGAGTTATTTTTGTTTGTTTTTTAAAAAATTATTTATTTTATGTATATTGGTGTTTTGCCTACATGAATGAATGTCTTTATGAGGGTATTGATCCCCTGGAACAGGAGTTATGGACAGTTGTGAGTTGCCATGTGGGTGCTGGGAATTGAACCTGGGTCCTCAGGAAAAGCAGTCAGTGCTCTTAACTACTGAGCCATCTCTCCAGTCCTGGAAGTGGAGTTGTATTGTGGTTTGGAATCAGGAAAAGCAGTCAGTGCTCTTAACCACTGAGCCATCTCTCCAGTCCTGGAAGTGGAGTTGTATTGTGGTTTGGAATCATCTCCTGAAGATTCGTGTATTAACTGCTTGGTCCTCAATACAGCACCGAATAGAGGTGGGACCTTAAGGGGTGATATGATCATGGGGGCTCTCACCTCATCAGTGGACAGTTTCATTAGAGGTGGGGCCTAGTTGGAGGAAGAAGATCGTGGAGACATGCTTGAAAAAGGCCCCCCTTTTCTTTCCTGGAACATACTAAGGTACGCTGGATTCACAACCACATATTGCCACCACCATGATCGCCTGCCCCAGGCCCAAAGCAATGGAGCTAGCCAGCCTTTGCTCCCTGGTGTGGGTTTTTCTAGGGTGTTTTTGACATAAAGCAGACTAACAATGATGCTTCTCGATTCTCCTCACAAGGTCTGCTGGTCACCCTATGTGGGTCAAGATGGTCTACCAGCATCCCAGGCTGGTGACTGTGATGACCTATGTGGGGGTGCATCATGTCAGTTAAAGTTTACTGTGTGAATCAGGACTGTCTCTATAGTAAGATGTTATCAGCCTTCCAGTTCCAGGAAGTCAGCCATCCCTCCGCAAGGGAACACCCCCCCCCTTACCTCTGCTATCATGAGGATACTGAGGAATGAGAGGGAAAGTGGGGGGAATGTGCTTTATCAGTTGGGCATGGGGCATTGGTGACATGGGTCTGGTGACCTCACATGCTGACATCCTCATGGCTGTCTATGTAGTCTCCACACGGTAGCTACTGAAGAAGTCAGGACCAAATGCACCTTACATATTAGTTCTTTCTGCTCTGATGCATGAGCTTCCATGGACTCTCTAAGATTTGGATCTCAGATAAGCTAGATCCTTTGTTCTTTTCATCAGTTGGCTAGATAGCTTATATCCAGGGCTCTTGATAAGCATGTTAAATATAAGAGTGACAACTATAAATCCACTCTTTCCCAGGCAGATTAGGGTTCAAAGAAAGATAGTGATGTTACAATAATCTAATTTTAATGAATTGTCAGCTTTATCCTACAAGATATAAATATCAAGGAATTATCTTTAACCATTTATAAGTTTATAGATATAAGATAATACAGTTCAAGATTACTTGTATCATTAGTTTGCCATATAACATATGGTCATTTTTTTCAAACTTAACCAGATGCAGTATTCTAGAAAAGAGAATTGGTTCTCAAGCTCTTTTTTGTTTTGTTTGTTTTGAGACAGGGTTTCTTTGTGGAACTCGTGCCATAGACCAGGCTGGCCTTGAACTCACAGAGATCTGTGGTGCACTTCTGCCTAAGATGCTTGATCTCTTAATCATTCCTGCCTTGGTTGTAGACTCTCATGAAACAGGCCATGGGTCCTGGGTGTGTAGGGAAATATGGGTTGATAACAGATCAGTGACAGTGGCTCTCCTGCTTCCCAGCTAGTCTCTGTAAATTCCCCAGTAAGATCTCTTGCATCCAGAGACTCCTATGTGCTTCAATCATAAGCAACTAGCCCAGTAGAGAATATCCTGTCAGCTTTCTCCATCCCCCTACAGTCTGGCCCAGTCAACCTTGGCCAGCGAATGTGGAATGAAATGACCATGATGAACTCAAGGCCTGGTTGAACCCATAGAACGCAATGAAAGGCAAGCCTCTCCATCTGCTTACTTGTACTTGAGGTGTTGAATGGTGCCCAGACACTGGAAGGCGCCTTTCACCATGATGGCTAGCCGTGTACACAGTGCTTCACATTCTTCCATGCTATCGTGCAAGACGGAGGAAGTGAGAACGAAGGCAGGGGGATGTTCCTCCCTCCCTCCACCTCCCTGGGGATCTCTTGCCTGTGAGAGGTTAGAACCACAGCTCTCCCTTCTCTGATGATGCTCACAATGGTATTCCACAGCATGCGGCGTGCCTGGGGATCCATCCCTGTCGTGGGCTCATCCTGTAGAGCAGGAGGAAAAACAGGGGCATGTGGGACTTGGAGTTGGTCTTTCTCCATCATTGCATCTTTCCTGGGCTAACAGACATGTGTATAATCACTCCCTAGCAAGCAAGACAGAGCCATGAGCTGTGGGACACAAGGGCAGTAGGGGAATTGGAAAATACAGAAACATGGTGTACACCTATAGATCCATGTCAGCTATAAGTAAATTACAGTTAAGAACACAGGAATAAAGAAATAATATAAGAAGAAGGAGAAGGAAGGAAGAAAAGAAAGAAAGAGAGAAAGAAAGGAGGAAGAAAGAAGAAATGACAGATAGTCAATAGTAGAATCAGCCTTAGAAGGGCTTGGAGGAGGGAGATAGCCCAAGTAACTTTTCCATTCCCCTCTATGTCCTGTGCCTCTAAAAACTCAGACTGCAGGGAATCAGGGATCCCAGTCTGCTCCAAATTCATTCAAGGCCCCCTGGAGCCCCTGACTCAATCAAGCCAATGTTCCTGTCCACACAGACCTTCCCATCCCGGTTTCTAATCAGATGTCAACATTTCCCTGGAGCTGACAGTTTTCCCATTCTTAGTTTCTGGCCCCTCGAGAGCCTTCCCAGGCACAGAAGGCCAGACTGGCTGTGTCCAAACACTGGGCTAATTTGCTCAAAGGGGGCAATATGTGAGCAAGTCAGACAAAAGCAAACTGTTCTCTTTTCTAAAGCTGCAAGCCCTGAACTAATTTTCCCATCCCAGGATATGTAGCGATGCTTCAACTCTGCAGGATGCGGTGGCCTCACCAGCAGCAGCAGCGGCGGGCAGCCAATGAGTGCTATGGCCGTGGAGAGTTTCCGCTTATTACCGCCACTGTAGGTGCCTACCAGGCGGTCAGCATAGAGAGACAAGCCCAGGCTCTGGATACCCCAGTTGGCAACCTAGGAAAGTGAAAGAAATTTCAGCTGGTGGATGATGAACAAGTGAACGCCCCAGGCACCCACACAGTTCACATCTCATCCAGTTCAGACCTGTTGCAGCAGGGCCACCTGCTGGCTGGTATGCACTAGCACATGGTTCAAGGTGAGAAAGTCGCTTTTCTATTCTTGACCTTTGGTTTCACCAGTGTGACTTCCTCAGTTCTGCAGCCCTCCACTGCCCCCCTCCCTGCCCCCCAAAAACAGCCTTCAACCTTCCAAAGACTACATTTGTCACCAAGAGTTCTAAGGTCTCTTTGAGAAGCCTGCACCTCCCCACCCCCAAATCATTGTCTTTATCCGTAGAGTCACATCTATAAGCGTCTTGTGCGTCTAATACTAGGAAAAGTGTTTTGAGGCAAGCTCACCCCATAGGTAGCTCTGTGACTCACTTCCCTCTCTAGCCCTATACTTAGACGTCACTTCCTGTGAGCTTTTGCCTGGGCTGGACACTACCAACAATCACAAACCTCATCCCAACAATTGTTCCTTGCTTAATTTTCCTCTCCGCACTTGCTGCTCTCTAACTCACTGGATACTTTACTTAACCTGGTGTTTTTCCTTTCACTAGGATACAGGCTCCATTTTAAACTTGTTGCTTGGAAAAAATTTCACATCCCCACACCCCCACATCCCCAGTGTGTGTATGTGGGGGGAGGAGTGCCACGTGGTAGGCGCACATTTGCCTCAGAACACATGTAGAGAATGGTAGATAACCTCCAGTGCTGTCCCTCCCTCCCACTTGTTTGAGACAGGGTCTCTTAGCAGTTCACTGCTTTGTATGCCAGGCTAGGTAGGTGGCCCATGAGCTTTGCAGATTCTCCTGCCTCCCTTTCCAACTTGCTGGTGGGAGCACCAGGATTGCAGACATGCTTCACCACGTCTGACTTTACTGGGGATTCAAACTCAGGGCCTCACAGTTGTAAACATGCTTTACCCATGTAGTCATCTTTGTAACCCTCATTGTGTCTCTTTAGCCTCCTGTGATTAGTAACATTTCCATTTGATCTTAAAAACATATATAGTCCCTCTTTCTCACCTTCTTTTAAAGGGGATATTATTTATTTAGAATTTATCTCATGTTTTTTAGTGATAAGATTCAGGTTGCACATTGACAACCAGGATTCTACATAAATGAAGTTGGAACTATATATGATATTAGGGTATCAAATCCTGGAGCATTCTACAGAGCATTAATCTTGATCATCCAATTAACTTGTTGTCTATTTTTTTATTGAAAAATCACACTTACTTTGAAACCAATAAGCGATTTATACAGATGTTATCTTAGAATATGTAAAATATCTCATTTCTCATTTAAAAACTTTCTCTAGTCTATCCATTGGTGATTTTTGTGCAATCCTGTCTTTAATATGATGTCTTACTTACAGTTAATATTGCTGTGATAAAACCCTGTGACCAAAAGCAACTTGGGAAGGAAAGGGTTTTATTTCATTTGTACTTCCATATAAATGGTTCATCATCAAAAGTATTTAGGGCAGGAACTCAAACAGGGCTGGAACCTGGAGGCAGGAGCTGATGCAGAGGCCATGGAGATGTGCTGCTTACTGGCTTGCTCCTCATTGCTTGCTCAGCTTGCTTTGTTGTAGACCCCAGGCCCAGTGTTGTACCACACATACTAGCTGGGCCCTCTTGCTCAATCACTAATTAAGAAAATTTCCTACAGGCTTGCCTACTGCCTGATCTAACAGAGGCATTTTCTTAGTTGAGGTTCCCTCCTCTCAGATGAGGTTCCCTCCTCCAAGTTCATGTAAAATCCAATTCCAGACCCTTCCTATGCTGTCCAACAATCACCCCTCAGTGCTTGATTGTAAGCAGAACTTCCTGTCTTTCCTGTTCATTTATCTATATCACAATATGATCTTATAAATTCCTAATTTTCTCTCGATGGTTTAGAAATTACCATGGTAACAAGTTACTCTTTAAATTGGCACATTTTCATTGTATGTAAGGACATATTTCTTTTTTCAGTGCAGAGAATTGAACCCAGGGCATTGTGGGTGCTGGGCAAGCCTTCTACCACTGAGCTCCATAAAGGTCATTAACTATTTGATGCTTAGGTTGTTCCATAGGAAGCCTCTTCAAGATGGCTCCTTTCGACATTCCTCATTACTTCATTTAAAGACCTTCCCTACTTTCTAGCAACACAAGATGATACTGCCTTGGAATGAGTTGCTTATTTGAAGAGTCATGGTTCCAAATCTGAGCATTAGGTGTGTTCATTGCTATTAGTGTATTTTTGTGCTTTGATCTTCTCAGAGACAGGCAGGCAGACAGACAGACAGATACACACACACACACACACACACACACACACACATACACACACACACACACACACTCACACACACACACACACAATATGTACATCATAGGTGAGCACACCTACATTATGCACAAACAGGCACATAAACATTTGAAGAGTACACAGTGATATCTCCAGCTCCAATCTACTCCTCTGAGTTCTTTCTTGCTTTCCCTTTTCCTAAAATTACCTGCCACTTCTTCTAAAATAACGAAACTAGCTCCCTAAAACATCAACAAATTTGTTCGTTTACTCAAGTATCACACACGTACAATTTTTTCAGAATTGCTTTATCCATACCAATATAAAAAGCAAATATATAAAAAGTAGATCAGAAGTGCTTTGTCCCACTCTATCTTGGCCACAACTAAGGCTAAGTACCTGCATGATTATTTAAAATAGACTAATTTGTTCCAGCTTATATTCAATGTTAGGCTTTATTTCTGTTCTCACGTTTATCCCCCTTCTTATTCTTACTGATTCTGTCTTAGTTTTGAATCTGTAGAACATGGACACACCTGCACAAGTCAAAGCTAAACAAAAGGGTAACATCAGAGAAGCATCACTCCCTCCCAGTTTGCTTTCACTCCACAATCCTCTTGTCACCAAAGTCATTGTCTGTTTTTTTTTTCTTTTTTTCTTCTTTTTCTTTTTCTTTTTTTCTTTTTTTTTGGTTTTTTGAGACAGGGTTTCTCGGTGCAGCTTTGGAACCTATCCTGGCACTCACTCCAGAGACCAGGCTGGCCTCGAGCTCACAGAGATCCGCCTGCCTCTGCCTCCCGAGTGCTGGGATTAAAGGTATTCGCCACCAACGCCCGGCCATTGTTGTCTGGTTTACCTTCTTCTGTCCTATTTGGGAAACTAAGCAGCCACGGATCTGCTTCTTTATTTTCCTACTTTCTTTCATAAATGTAGAACCCACATGTTCACCTTCACACCTAGTCTCTTCTCATACGGTAATATTAAAAATAATATTGACAATATGTCTGTAACAGGCCACAGAGACCATCCTTATCCTTTTCTATAACTGCATATGACAGTCACATGATCACATGGATCCAGCCAACTATGCCTAAATATTTAGAATATTTAGGTGATATCCAATATTTTGCAATTGCAAATGTGATGAATAACCTTGTACTTATGCATTTTATACTTTGACACATGTGTCTTCATCGTAAATTTCAAGAATGTTGATTGCTGGGTTGAAAGACGACTGCATGCACTATCAGATAGACTGTAGGGCAGAGATTTGCTCTGTGTGTGTGTGTGTGTGTGTGTGTGTGGCTTTGTGGGGGTGTGTGTGTGTGCGTGTGGAGCCCAGAGGTCACCCTCAGGTGTCATTTCTCAGGAGGTTCTGGCTTTGTTTTTAGAGACAG